ATACCTTTCATGTACATGTATACTTATGGCATAAGGGCTAAGCCTTTTGAAATTTATGTACATTGTGTTATACATCACTGTATATACAGTAAAATTTGTTTCTCAATGTTACTGTAGTAGCTTACTAAACATTACATTTTGTCTCGCTCACGTATCTAGCGAAATAGATACAATTGAAATCCTTAAGATTCCTGCAATATCTTTGCAGATTTCCTCTCAAGATAAGAATTTACTTGAAGAGGAATTGTCGTAGTATCCGACATAATGTAGGCCTATCATTAACAACAAACCATTTTGTTTTATATCAACACAAAGCTGTAATGAATTCATAATAGACTTTTAATGTTGAATATTTCACAATTCTAATATAGTTTTACTTTTTCCAACTCCAATTCCAAAATTGAATTTTTAAATAACACACCTGTCAGGCAGGCGTTTCCATTACTTGCCAAAACGTTTATAGGAGTTCAAAGTAAGTTTAATTACTACAGCAAAGGCAAATAAAACAAATTTATTGTCAAAACAAAATAGTTCTATGGTGTATACATGTTTTTCGTTTAAATAAACCTTTTATGCCTTTTTCATAATAATTTAGGAACAGAGTCCTGAATATTATATAGTCCAATCTGACTTGACAAAATAATAATACAACAACGATCAAGAAGCGGCTGATTAAATGCTCGTGGGTGTCCCAGTAAATAAAATTCAACCACTGGAAGCATAAATAAAATAAATGACAAATCATTTTAATAACCCATGTTAAAATTCCTTTTACGAAAAGTGAACTCGTGTCAATGTTCTCTTTAAAGCCCCAGGTTGGATTATTAAGCCACTTTCGTTTCGCTTTGTAAAAGACCCTGAGGTAAAATCATCAATTTCGAGTTTTACTAGAGTGAACCTCTCTAATTTAATTTATTTTGTTTCGGAATATAGCTTGGAGCTATTTAAAGTTGATTGATTTTCCTGCGAACTCAACCATTATCCAATTTATTACGATTTTAACTCACATGCATATTTAAGAATTTATATTATTTTTGGACTTGCAGATTCAATCTTTATCGGTTTGTTACTCAATTTTTGTCACTATAGTTGAGAAAAGATACCATCAAGTACAAAAGGTTTTTGAATTTTACAATGATTAAGAGTGATAATTTCTCAAGGTCCGTTGGCATGAACTACGAAATTTGGGAAAATCGTGTAAACCTACATTTATTCCAACGGGTTCGCGAGAAAACATGATTGGACAATGCATAGGACTGGGGTTTTATTGGGTAAAAAAGATATATCCCATTTTCGACCCTCAAAACATATAATATTGCAATTTCTTTCCAAACTATTTTGTAGAGCTTAAAAACAAGTAATTTAGTACATTGAAGCGTTTTTGTACGCCTAATAGGCTACTAGTTACAACATTTGAAAAAATTTTAATTTGGAATTTCCATGTTTTTTTTTTGTGTGGATATACACTGTTGTAGTTTGCTGGTTTACGGATATCTTTTGATCGAATTTGTTTACTTCATACTAAACTATTACCAATTTTAACAATAATACACTTTATTACTTTTCCTGTAGAAGAAAACCTAATAGGATACATATTTAAGCTAATGTCATTTAATCTAATTAGGTAATAAATCTGATATGTTGAAGGAAATAGTTTGGGAAACATCAATGAAGTAAAACGGAAACTTGCTTAAGTCTGCAGGTTTGTTACAGTGGGGTAATTTTCTTTCTAAATAAATACGTTTATTGTTTTTATGAAAATCTAATGCAATCTCTGCGATCTTGTTTGTTTGATGATACGATTTTTTGTCAAAAAACCAAAAGCACTTTTATTTTAGACCGTTTTCTTTTACTTTATTTTTGAGTAGTTGAGTAGTTAGTATTTTTTTTTGAACGAAAGATGACAAATATTAATATGTTTGTTAAATCATTGCATAAATATTGTTATTAAGTTCCAATAAAAACCGTTTCACCCACATAAAGATTTTTATTAAATTAGTACTGCGGTGATAAATCCGGTAATACTGTGAGTTCACGATGGATTTGATGTCATTTGAAAATGATTAATTATTCTGTCCACAGATTATAATTGCATTCCTAATCCCTCGGCATAACTGAGTAATATTAATATCTGGACTGTCAACTATCCCAACTAGTAACGTTTGATCTGTGATCATTCGAAACCAAATATCCTTGCAAAGCGTACAATTGAAACTACATTCGATCTATATTATCCATCCTGGGTAAGAGTAATTACTAATAAGTGTCATAAGATATTGAATTAAAGTTAATTGTTCATACTGTTATTACTTAAATGAAAACAAATTGGTGATTTGCTTTCAAGTTAAGTGTGATTGCGTCATCAAAAAAATTATTTTGTAATTGGATTAATTTGCTAATCATATTGTGTGCAATAAATCCATGGTTTACAACCACGAGTTTAAGGTTGAAACTAATTTATCGCATACCTATTTACTCAACTGCTACAAAATATTCGGAAAAAATTTATTTTTTAATTATTTATCTTTAATACATCATTAAATGTTTTTAAATCCAATGAAAGTCATATTGTGTCCAATCTATTAATTTGTCACCCCAGTATTAGTTGTTTTATACATTTATAAACTATTTTCTCAGTCTATTATTTAAAATACATAAAAATTAATGGTTTTGTGAATTAGGAATTAAAGTATTTTGAAACAATGAAGAACAATGTAAGTTTAAGCTTCAGACACAGATAAAAGTGTGCCAACGTTCTGAAACGTTTTTAAACCCTGAGGAAAGAGTAAAACACATAAAATATTTACAAAAATATAACAACAGCCTGCTGCTAAGCCATAACAACATTGAAAACAAACTTTTTTGACATAACTTAATTTCACATGTCCAACGAAAGTCCTATGTAATGTTGTTTTATGCATGTTTTTTTTTTTTTTTTTACTTTATTTTAAACGTTTGTGTGGCTGAGCTATATTTGAACATCTTTTCAATTATGTGTTATAACTATATGATGGTAATGTAGTTTTTTTTTGTACAGACAATTTTGAGATCTAACTGTTGTAATATAAGCTTTAACAAATTATCATGGTAGCTTACTTTTCACATAGACTTTTACCACAAAGGAAAAACAATAGCAATGGAAAATAAATCTACCGAGCTGGTAGGTCAAATGTAGTTATTTAACATAATAAAAATAACAAATATTAATCTTGTGGTATTGTGTCTGACCTAAATTGAATTAAATAGATAACAAATCCTACATACACTAAAAAATCTGCCACAAAAAATATCATGTTATGAAGTACTTTTTGGGCATAACCGCCACTTGGTGTTCATCCCCAAAATGGGGGATTTTGGGGGAAACTAAAAACTTTCAAATACAAAGACCCATTGAATGACCCCTCATTTTGAAGGTCCTGGTAAAAGAAAACCAACAACGCAAACTAGAGGTCTCTATTTCATTTCAGTACAAAATGGCAGCCAATTGAAATTCTCATAAGTTCCCAAACCCAAAATGGGGGATTTTGGGGGAAACTCAAAATTTTTAAAGATAAGCCCCATTGAGTGACCCCTCATTTTGAAGGTCATAATAAAAGAAAACTAACAACGCAAACTATAGGTCTCTATCTTAACACAGTAAAATATGGCAGCCAATTGAATATAAAATTGCAAGTTATTTCCGATTTCTAAAGATTTCAATCAGCTTCCATTTTTTACTGGATTGAGATAGAAACCTCTAGTTTGCGTTGTTAGTTTTCTTTTACCAGGACCTTCAAAATGAGGGGTCACTTGACGGGGCTTATCTTTAAAAACTTTTGAGTTTCCCCCAAAATCCCCCATTTTGGGTTTGGTAGGCAAGGGGCTATTAGGCTTAAAAAGTACTTCATAACATGCCATAAAGGTGTGCCGAGTTTAGTTTTTCTAGTATGGGCCGTTAAAAAAATAACAGGGGGTCTCCACACTTTTTACTAACCCTGTATATTATCGTTATTATCTATTATTATTTAATTATAAGATAATGTTTCAATCAAAACTACGAATAGTGAGTAAGTATGTAAGATCAAGTCGACTTATCATAGGAAAAAAAAATTAATAGGGGCTAATGTACAAAAAGCGATAGTGAGGGGAAAAGTACTAAGAAAATCCAATAGTTCGAAAATTGGACCCGATAAAACTATTTATTTTTTTAACACGCAATTTTGTATTGGGTTGAGATAGGGATATCTAGTTTTCACCGATTCTTTTAAAACAATGGCATTTAAAATGAGGTGTCACTTGATGGCGATTTATATTTTAAAATGTTGAGCTACCCCCAAAATACCCCGTTTTGTGTTTTCGGATGGAATTGGGATACCAACGAAATAACTCCCTAATGACATATAGAGGTCTGCAGACTTTGTCTTTCCTGTTGTAAATCATTAAGAAGTTAATAGGAGGAGTCATAACTGTTGTCCAACCCTCTATAAAAAAATAAACATAGCATGGATTATCTGATTTAGGGTTATAAATATTATTTGATTACAATTCGAATATTTAATAAATATCCCAACTCATATATTCACAAAGTATAGAGGTATTTACAGAGATATACAGTAGTTATGTTTCAACGTGTTGACTAAGCCCAATGTCCCGAGTACCAGTAGAGGCAGCACTGACAGGAGTGAACGATCAGCTGATCCCAGCTGATCCACAGAACACCACGTTACAACATGTTCACTTGACCAAGGCCAATGTCAGAGCAGCAGTAGAGGCAGCACTGACAGGAGTGGACGATCAGCTGATCCACAGAACGTCATGTTACAGCGTGTTCACTTGACCAAGGCCAATGTCCAGAGCAGCAGTAGGGGCAGCACTGACAGGAGTGGACGATCAGCTGATCCACAGAACGTCATGTTACAACGTGTTCACTTGACCAAGGCCAATGTCCAGAGCAGCAGAAGAGGCAGCACTGACAGGAGTGGGCGATCAGCTGATCCACAGAACGTCATGTTACAACGTTTTCACTTGACCAAGGCCAATGTACAGAGCAGCAGTAGAGGCAGCACTGACAGGAGTGGACGATCAGCTGATCCACAGAACGCCACGTCCACGTTGCGACAGTGCTTGGAGTACACACGCATGTTAGACAACGTGTCTGCGATCTTCTTGATGAACAGAGCTTCCTCCTTCTTGCATTTGAGTCGAGCCGCTACGTACACGCACTTGAGGAACCCGTGTCTTGCACTGGCAACAGGCAAAGTGTAACATTAGTGAGAATTTTCATGTTTGCCGTTAGTATTGTATGTTAAGTGTTATAAATTGGAGCGTATCTGGTTGATCCAAGTGAAATCAAACACTACTGAATTGGTTGTGCTGATAGGTATCAATTATCATTTATTAAAATGGGGACGCTACCTAGGGCCATATTTTAAACCAAATACGTTGAAGGATGAGTGTAGAATGCAGTGAGATGATATGTGGAGCTGATACACCATGATTCTTCTAACTTTAACAGTCTTACTTATAGAATGAACGTGTTACTGTTAGTGGGTAGTATATTGATTAGCTTTTGGACTTCAACAGAAGCAATTTGATCACCTACAAGAATTTCGTCTTCAACAACATCATTTTAATGAATCTGTTTTACGAACAATATCTGCTTGGTTAGAAATTTTTTTTCTTTCAGAAAACACGGTGTCTGTTGAGTCTTTAAAATAGCAAAATTTTTAATGTCAAAACAGTAGGTTTAAATGAATATCTGGTTGAAGCTTCAATAATGTAGGTTGTAAAAGTAAAGTACACAACTATTTGGCAGCAGTTCGCATTGCCACCCAATATCTTGTGACGAGCCACATTTGTGATTTTTCAATGTGTGAAAAGCTTACTGGGGCTGTTCGTACACTTAACTCTTCCATTTAAAATTCTATAACCTCTCAGGCTACCCACCAGCAGAGTTCCAGCAGTCTGGACTCCATGGTGGTGTTCTTCCTCACCACCTCCTCTCTGACTAGACTGACGAACCTGTTGGCGCAGTTGTCCCAGTCCTTGCTGATGGCCTTGTAGCAAGACGTGTACTGCAGGTACTCTGCAACGTAAATAAATTTATTTCGATAACAATATTTTGTATACATTTTTTAACACACTAAATTATTTTCGTTATATCCATACTACAAGAATGTTTCTTGATAAAATAAGCATTCCTAACAAGGTTTTCCAAACCCCACGATGGATTGAACACAAATATTTTTAAGAAAGTGTTCAAGATTCCGAACTGTGTGAAGTTTTGTTAAGAAATTGAGTCCTTCACTCTACCACCGGTTCAACTAGTTCCTAAATAAACAGTTTAAAAGCTTTCAATTTGAATTATTGTACAAAACTCTAACAGTATGTTTATGATTCGTTGTAAATTATGAGGGAATTTTCAATCTCAGCCTTCAGCACTTTGCTTCAAGTAACCTCCCTTCGCTATCGCTTAAAGTGTACTTTTATTGCCTCGTAAACAATTTTTTCACTTTCATTTTCTATCACCTTTTTTGAGAGACAAAGCCAAATACTGGGATAGCTATGGTGTAATTTTGCTAAATAGTATCTTTAACGTTTGCTGCAGAATACAAAATCATTTCTTTTGATATTTGATGTAGTTTTAGAAGTGGAATTAAAAAATTTAAGTTTTATTGTCATTCGGTATTTTCATTTATTACAAATGGTTAAACCTGTTGGATTATTAAAACAACGTCATTGGAATGTAGTATATTTCGTAAGTAGGGTCGAAATTAGGGTTTTCCGTCTCGAGATCATTTTTAAGTTCGAAACGATCTCGAGCCGGCAAAACCCTTTTGGTCCGTGGTACGAACACTATTTTTCACAACACTATAAAGTTGAGAAATAAACAAACAGTAAACAGTAAACTACAACAACAGTAAACTATAAAGTAAACAGGAGAAATGATAATAATAAATAGTTGCTACTCTGTGGTGCCAATAATACAAGTCATGTAGATACTGCTTGTGTATTTAAGGTACCGTAAATAACTCAGCTGGTTTTTGGCCCTAGGAATGACGATGACAGCTCGCATGGACAGCAATACTTAGCTTTCAGCCTCCAATTAACGTTTGTAAAATAGCTAAAAACATCGTAGTGGCAGTAAGGTGAAAAAGCTATTACGTTTTAAAAACAAGCTAATAAGCTAATAAGGATTTTGTTGATGTATTCATGTATATAATTATCATAGAAACATTTACAGACTGAGCTATGAACTAATTAATTCTATTAACTCTAGGAGTAGATGTGTGAAGTTTGCTTACACAGTGAGAACATTACTTACCAGACTGGAAGACTGGGTCGTCACAAAGGAACTTGAATGTGTGTCTGGCTCCAGCGACATGAGCATCCAAGGTCTGTCTGTCTGCCGTGGAGAGGCAAGTGTTAGCAAACGTGTCCATGCATCCCATGCCTATCTTAAATGCACTGAAAATCATAATTGCAAGGTGAAATGATAAAATCAGTTGTGCTAATAGCTTGAAATTTACTGTTTTACTTTGATGTAAAATGCATGTATTAAATTCACGAATGGTAGTGGCTATTTGTGACTGACCAATAGAAGGGAATTTAGACTTCGGGTTTTAAATTGATCTGAGATTTGCCTTTCTGTTTTTGATGCTTCACAGCCAATCCTTGAGTGGACGGGTTGGGATTTACTGTCTTAGCGTTCCTGCGTTCACCTGAACTAGATGTCTGACACTTGTAAGCAGCCGAAACTACATTAAAAAGTATTAATTTAAGACGTTTTGTTATTTGATTCTTTGAACGAAATCTTAGTTCTAGCCTTGTTAAAAAAAAAAACAAACTACCATTCAGAAGGTGTTTGCTTTAAAAGAACCGAAGGATTTGAAAAGACGAATTGAATTTATATTCGCATATTTAGCCAAAATTATTTGTCACCTGCAGGAAGCATCGACGTCAATCTTGGAGCTGGGGATCCCCTTCATCTCAGACTTCTCCAGGATGGGAGGCAACTTCTTGAGACAGTTGTCCAGGTAGGAGCGATCCTTGCACTGCACGACGACCGTCTCTGTAGGAGAGGCCGTGTTGTCTGACGATACAACCACTAGTATCTCTACTGTAGGATAATACAACCATCACTGGTTACTGATTGTGTCTTTCGAAATGTACAGTTTGGAATGTGGGAATGACTTTGAAACAGAATAAATGTAGACACTGTTACATAGTACATTCAACTTTTTTATTCCAATGATCTCATTTTAGTCCCTTGTGTAATGTTAGTTGTGATCCTATCGCATTCAGTATCTTAACTGAAGGAAGATAATCCTCTTTTTGTAGGGGTTTGAGACATTTATAGTAAATAAAGATGTTGTGTGAAATTAATATAAAAAAGAAATATCACCTTTTTCAAATCATTTGTGATTTTTTCCAATTTTATTACATGTTTACGTGTGTCAAAAATACTGTAAATGTATTTGCACTCTCTTTTTTATTAACCGTGACTGCACATGAAAATCAATCACTAATTCAAGGGTCTTGTGAAGATAACTCGTAATTTCAAACATCAATAACGTTTTCAGACTAGATTACTTACGTAATCCTGTCACAGATCAACAAAATTCGTCAATTTAGAATGTTTTTCGGTGTTAAAAAACTATCGTCAGCTTCAGGTACCTGTAGTCGTAAACATCGTCAAAAGGCAAACTCAGGACGGTACGAACAAAATTTAGATAAAATACAACAAGAAACATTAAAACTTTGAAACAGGCCTGTTTTAACAATGGTTGACAGACCTTACAAGTAACAAGAGACAAACTTAAAGTATCTGAAGCTGACGATGGTGTTTAAAACCCGAAGAATGTACCAAATTGACACATTTTCTTGAGCTGTGATGGGATTACTGTACGTAAGTAATTTAAGTATTGATTGACGACAGGTTATTAACCTTATGTTAAGTAATTTAGTCTTCGTGTCAAGCAGCTCAGGGTCTACAAACGTGGATTTTAAAAATAACATTTTTATAAAAGCTTTAATATAGTTGTGAAAGTATGGGAATGGTTAGCTTTCACCTACTATTCTGGGTGTCAGTAACTAAACAGAAAAATTTCAATAAAATATTCCAATCCAAAGAAGTTATATATATATATGTATTTAGATTAAACTTTTTGGAAAAAAATAAATTATTAAATTGTAATTTAAATATTGATAAACTGAACTACAACTACATATTAACCTGGACTCAAGGATGAATTTTTGTGCCCTCAAAGCTCTCCACACTTACGACTATCACATTAATAACACTTACTGTGTCAGTTAACAACCTTCTCTACTAAAAAAAATGCTTTTTGTATGTCAGCTGATCAAGCTATTTTGTAAACACTATTATCCATTCTACTCACAAAACATTTATCTACTACTCTTTAAAGTAGTGACAACCTAAATATCGTCACACTATCTTATATATTTTAAAGAATTGGTTTTTCTTTTCCGAGTTCGTTTGGCTCTTCTACCCGACCGATTTTCATTATTGGGGTATCAAATTGAAGGTATGCACGCAAAAATTTATCAAGCATCGGAATATATTTATCTTTAATCCCACTCGGCTTATACGATAACTTAATTTGCTCCCCATGTATTTCTTATGGGAGTTAAATCTAGTTTTTCTTTTTCGAGTTCGGTTTGGCTCTTCTACCAGACCGATTTCCATGATTGAGGTTTTAAACTGAAGGAATGCACGCAAAGATTTCACATAAAGCATCGGCATATATTTACCTACTGTATTACTCGATCAAAAAACATAATTTGATTCATTTTCGAACTCTTACTTCCATTTAAGATGTATTTCACCAGTAATTATATATCCTATATTTTTTGGATCAGCGCCTTTAGTGAATACCAAGTTTCATGTAAGTTATTAGTTATTCAAATCAGACGAATTTCAAGCAAACGCAAGGTAAACAACCAACGTAAAAATTATTTTTCATAAGGTTTTATATGATTAAAAATCAATAGCTACAGTATTGGTAATGTTTTATATGTTTTAGACTCAAAATAATCAGTAAATTATAAGTGATAATTTGAGCTATTGATCGTTGGAATCAGCTCAAGATACTGTTTTACTCTGATTGAAAATCATAAATGTTATTATTCCTCGGATATTATATTTATTTTAACTCTGCGGTGCAGCATGGGTCCTCTAGTCGATTTAGAAAATGTACATTGAAATTAAAGCAAAATTAAAAGCATCATAGCTACAAAACATTTATCAGAGTTTATAAAGATAATTGATGAAATGTTAAGCCGATCTATTTAATTTTGTTTTCAATTTTTCAGTCACTCATGCGCACCAGAAGGATCCAGAGAGAGAAATAATCCTTTTAGAAAAGTAGCCAATCAAGTGGAAGTTTAATAACTTCCTCATTTCTGCTTAAGAATTTTCATTGTTAACTGTTAACTGGTTCAATAAAGGTATGACAATTTTAATAAAAAGGATACTAGACTTTTACATTTAGTAATAGAATATTTGTTGCTGCAAAGTATTATGTTATACTTGGTTTTGAACACAATACTAAACCGTACACTACTGATACTTTATTAAAAAGTAATAGGCTAATAACTTTTAGAATGATCGTTGTGTTTTTTTTTGTTTTTTCTTTTTTGCTAAATTGGCTATTATCTAGTGGCGTTGTCCCACAGCTATCAAATTATTATGATGGAGAAACCCCATTAGGTAAAATTACATTGTTTAGGTGAAATAACTGATTTCACCCTGAGCAAAGATCATTGGCTAGAATTTGACAATGTTGGAATAGTGACACCTTTGTACTGGTGTTGTGGTGACTAAACTAATTTCTATCACAGCTATCAACAGGTACTTAGGTAATTGTTAATAATTGGAACTTTAAAACTTAGCCTTAGTTTAAACATTTGATTTTTTATTTGGTCTTCAATTGGTTTGGTCTTCAATCTTTATTAGCTATTTTGTATATTTTTAACTACTGGATAATATTTAGTTTAGTTTTGTACAACCGTATTTTGTTCGATGATTTAAAAAGATTGACTTGAATATATATTGTTAGTAAAAATTTTTTTATCAAATAAATGTGTTAAATTTTATCTTACAGCTTATTCGTGTATTATTTTGTGAATTGATGTATTCTATTAATTACTTCTATTTTTTTAACCTATTTCTGTTAGGAATATTATCTTATTATATTCATATATTAAATGGCGTTGCTACTTAATAGGAGTTGATTATGTAGGGAACCCAATTAATTACACAATATAAAGTAAATATTCATAAAGTTGATATTTGTATATTTTTCATAGAACTATTTAGTAACCTACGATAACATTAAATTTACAGTACGATATTTTTTGAGTGTCCTTGAATTGTAAAATCCTCATAATTGATTATGATTTCATACAATCGTACAGTTACAGGTCAATCTTTAATAAAATACAAATTATCACATACAAAAGAAAAGTCTAGAAAATATAAATATTCTAATATTCGCCATAAACTGAGTTATGTCTGTTCGTTCTCCAACATAAAAAACTATTTAAAAACGGAAACGTTCTTTTTTTTAATTTGTGTAAAATAAACTTTCTTTTGGAAACATAAACATGACGTATAAATCTAATTTATTCGACAATTAAAATATGTTTCGTCATTCTAAGAAAATATAAATAAATAAAGTGTTGTATTATATTATTTATCTCAATGGCTTTATACCGATTTTGAACAAAAAAGAAAACATTTATAAATTCAGGTATTTTAATAAGAAACTCTCCTTGATTTTAAGAAAAAGTATATATTTTGTAATGAGTTAAATTACTTATGTTGGATGTCGAGGCAATACGTGTTACAAAAATGTTTTTTGAAGAAAATAGATTGATAGTGCACAACTTACTTATATGAACATGGAGCATATATTACTGTTGGAAAAAAATTGATGTGGGGGTTATTCCATTAAGAGATTAAGCATTTCTTAACATTAAACGTTGTGATTTTTATTTTCTCTAGATTTCTGTAATTCTTTGTTAGGTACCTTAAATCATCATTGTTTAATTTAATGAAGTATCAATTTCAATGGTTAAGGGGCTTTTTTAAGATTGAGAAGATCCTAAGTGATAAATAACTAAAATTGGGCAAGGCTAACATAATCTTTTAAAGATTGAGCATTTTAAAATTGTAGTAGAAATGTTTTCCATATAACTAATATTTTGACGCGGTAATTATTTAAAATAGTTTGTAAAAATTGGAATATGAAAGAGACAAAACCAAAAACGTGTACATTATAAATTTACTTTATGAATTTAGCATAGTCACAGATAGCAAGAAAATTAGATCCCAAGTTACCCTAAATTTGGAAGTAAAGGGAAATCCTAGATATACCTAAATATATCTATATAATGTTTTGGTATACAGTACTTTGATATAACTTGGATATACCTAAATATATATTTTTTTTATTGAGCATGAAATAACACGTGATGGTAGTTATAATGATACTCACATAGTACAATGACACACACAGTAGTTATCAACATGTTGTAAGTGACGTTATAGTTAGGTAAGTTACAGTAGGACGGTGATTGTACGTCATCACTAGACGCGTGTCTGTCACATACTGACTGTCTGTAGTCTGTAACCTCCCCCTACCACCCTCTCACAGTGTCCTCCCCTCAACATATAGTGACTAATAGTTAGGTAAGTTACAGGAGGACGGTAATTGTACGTCATCACTAGACGCGTGTCTGTCACATACTGACTGTCTGTAGTCTGTAACCTCCCCCTACCACCCTCTCACAGTGTCCTCCCCTCAACATATAGTGACGTAATAGTTAGGTAAGTTACAGCAGGACGGTGATTGTACGTCATCACTAGACGCGTGTCTGTCACATACTGACTGTCTGTAGTCTGTAACCTCCCCCTACCACCCTCTCACAGTGTCCTCCCCTCAACATATAGTGACTAATAGTTAGGTAAGTTACAGGAGGACGGTGATTGTACGTCATCACTAGACGCGTGTCTGTCACATACTGACTGTCTGTAGTCTGTAACCTCCCCCTACCACCCTCTCACAGTGTCCTCCCCTCAACATATAGTGACTAATAGTTAGGTAAGTTACAGGAGGACGGTGATTGTACGTCATCACTAGACGCGTGTCTGTCACATACTGACTGTCTGTAGTCTGTAACCTCCCCCTACCACCCTCTCACAGTGTCCTCCCCTCAACATATAGTGACTAATAGTTAGGTAAGTTACAGGAGGACGGTGATTGTACGTCATCACTAGACGCGTGTCTGTCACATCCTGACTGTCTGTAGTCTGTAACCTCCCCCTACCACCCTCTCACAGTGTCCTCCCCTCAACATATAGTGACTAATAGTTAGGTAAGTTACAGGAGGACGGTGATTGTACGTCATCACTAGACGCGTGTCTGTCACATACTGACTGTCTGTAGTCTGTAACCTCCCCCTACCACCCTCTCACAGTGTCCTCCCCTCAACTTTTCATCCAAAAGACTCAAACTAATGTAGCTTATGATTCACTCTGGTTTCAATGCTTATTGAAATCATAATGTCAAGCTAATATGTAGATTAAAGGTAAATATAGATTTATTAGGGTGCACCTCAAGAGCATATTCTTGGACCCTTCCTCTTTTTAATTCATATCAATGTCTTACCTATGGCTTTAAATTACAAATTAATTATGTTTGCTGGCAATAATTATTTAGTTTTTACCAACCCCGAGAAATCAATGTTTCCACAGCTCATAAATAAAAAATCCATAAGCTGGAAAGATAGTTTTTACATAATATACTTTATACTAATATAGTTTGTTGAAACATTACACCCAAAAAATAGTTTTTTCCAACTACAATAATACATTAGCATGCAGTTTTTCTGGCTGTAACAAACTTTTAGGAATAGCTGTATATCATAAATTAACCTGGAAAACTCACCTTGCCCTGATTAAGTATCAAACAGTTAAGTAATGCATAGTGTGCATTTTTCTATCTAGATCAGTTTATGTTTCTACACTGATGATGGTTTAATATGGAATAACGTTTGGGGCAATTCCAACGAAAGGAAAACTGCATTTAAATTGAAAAAACGGATCCTTCAGATAGTTTACTGTCTCAAAGATAGAAGATAAAGAAGATTCATTCATGTGAAAATGTAAATAATTTAAATAAATAACTTTATTGTCGTTCCTAGAATTTATAATTTGCAATAAATATGTAATATATACCATAGACAACACAAATCAACTTTTCTTATTTTCACCCTACTACTCGTTCAATTTGATAATAACCTGCCTGATTGATTAAATCTACATCTTCTCTCAAATCATTTTCAAAAACTTATTAAACTTTACTAAACAAATGTTGTTGCAATGAAAATCATTTTTGTGCTGACTCTTGTACAATTATTATTTATATTTTAATATTTTTGTTATGCATTACTTATTATATGCTGTACACAAAATATATAAAAGACACTATGATTTGATTTCATAATTCATGATAGAAGTAGATGATAATATTTTCTTGTTTGTTTTTAAAGAGGTTGGCAGCCTCTTAAAACCTTGCATTTGCTTGGCCTCTGGTGTGAGCGTGGAATATATCCAGCAAAGGAAGGGGTGGTCTAATACAGTACGAGGTTGAATGGTACTGGTAAAATGGTGTATTTGATCTTTAAATAGTTTCCTTCACATACACCATTCTAACAACTATACATTTTTACACTTACATAAACTCTTTCCCTATAAACACATTAATAATTTGTGATTCAATTCTGCTCCACACAGATCTATAGTATCAACTGATAATATCAGTTAACAAGTATAGGCTACATAAAAAATATATAGATTGTGAGATGAGGGTTAAATCTGTACCAATGCTTATTTTTATTACTACCCTACCTTCTCAAAACATAAAATATTATTCTGTAACCTGCATATCCAGCTTAGCACTATACAGAAAGTAGTTCAGTAGTGATGAAGTATAATGTTCCACGGTGTTGTATTTCACAAGTCTCTGGATATTTTCCAACAGTTCACGTAACGAGGGGATTTGAAAACCAAACCGAACCAGTGGAATTGGCGTTGATAACTCCACATGGATTTATTGTTTAAAATTGGCCAAATTAGTTTACTCGTATTTGTTTTTACTGATTATTATCAGATATTGAGTATCATTGGGGCAATTAACCTCTTTGTTTTTAATTATTTCCCCTTTTGATTTTGGTAAAAGAGATAAAAATACATTGGCCGTACATATTAATTAGTAGTACTTATACAAGGTGTCCCGGAACTCCACCAAAATTTTAGAGCATTGTTCCTGAGGTAGAAACATATGTAAATACCATATTTAAATTGTCCGGAAGTCCTTATTTACTTACACAGTCGCCATTTTGTTTTTTCACTAATTTTTTTCTGAAGAACGGTTTATCAAACGAAATTGAAACTTTGCACAAACATTTATGACAACCAAACAAAGCTAGAAAAAAATTATGAAGATTTTCCAAATTCATAAAACAAAATGGCGGCGATTTAAAATTTTGTGTCTTAAATAACTCAAAACCCGTTGATTTTACAACAAATTTAAATGGCCCCCATTTTGTTTTATGAATTTGGAAAATCTTAATAATTTTGTTCTAGCTTTGTTTAGTTGTGCTAAATGTTTTTGCAAAGTTTCAATTTCTTATGTTAAACCATTCTTTGGAAAAAAATTAATAAGTGAAAAAAACAAAATGTGTAAGTAAATAAGGACTTTTGGACAATTTAAATATGGTATTTACATATGTTTATAACTCACGAACAATGCTCTAAAATTTTGGTAGAGAGTTCTGGGACACCCTGAGTATTTAAAACTTTCAAAGTAACTTCGCTTTATGAATTAAATTGTAAATAAACCGCACTCTACTTAAAGTTCATTTATTTGATAATTGGAGTTAATAGAAACAAAATAAACCTTCCATAGTAATCCATCTTTAACAACAACAATTCGATAGTTATTGTATGTATGATAATTTTCGATTACTTGTGAAAAAGATAAACATTTTATATATGTGAAATGCATTAAATTCTTAATGCAAATATACAAGTCCAAGAAGATATTTGTGTCCCACTTTATTAAACTGAGCAGGTTATGAATTTACAGACTTGTTTGTCAACACCGATTCAATCTCACTTCGACACCGACCTTGTTCTTTGTGGGTTACATAAAAGTGTTGTAATAAATTCATTCAGTGCTTATTACCTGAGAGGAACGTTAATGGAGACGTTTCTCCTCGTCGTTTTCCCAAAGTTATCAGATTTACTATAACACTCGTTCCTTTTATATTATGATCAGAATGTCCACGGCTTAAGGTAAATCATCCGGGTTTAATTTGAGTGGCTGGGTAGCCGAGTGGTAGTGCACGCCTAACAATCAAAAGGTCGCCGGTTCGATCCTGAGAAAATCCAGAAGCTTTTTAATATTGTTCGAAACTGAACTCAGCTGTTCCTGATCATTGGGTTTTAAATAAATGATCCTGGCTATTGAAACAGCTGATCTTAGTTAGCAACAAAGCTACTCAGGCCATCTTACTCCATTTTACACTCATCCTCCATTCTTATGTGGGTTAAAATACGCACATAGGTGGCGTCCCCATCTCAATTATTGATCATCGATGATTAATAAAATTGTTAAGGATGGTTTGTATACGTTTAATGCTTAAGTTCTATAAGATAAAAACAACCATAATTTAGAGACTTACAAAGAAACTTTGATCAAACTAAAAAAAAAATATTGAATATATCGAAATGCGTAATTTTCACTCAAATACACTAAAAATATATTTTAATAAAGCACAATGAAAATGCACAATGACTCATTTTGTATGCTGCATCATAAAAGTATAGAAGACTCCACTTTCAATAACTGTAAGGTTTCAAAGAGACATGAAGGGGTAATTTGTATTTACTATTTCAAATTCAGCTGTGGAATGAAGAAATGAGTCTGCGTTTTATTGTCAGGAGGCAGCAATTTGGGGCACAAAGCAGCTTTGGGCAGCAATTGGCTCCCATTGTGATTTGCTCTTCTTCACTAGTATGGGCTTGACATTGGAATTGGCTTTTTAAATTAACTTTTGTAATTTGCTTATTTAATGACTGTTAATAAATTATTGCTTACTATCTTCGATCTCCAGCATCATAAATACAATAGCTTTTTAAATGACAAGTTTTCATTTTTGTTTTTACTTTAAATGCTAATAGAATTTTTTAAACTAAAATTGAAGATAAGAAAATCTGTTTAGATTCCTTAAAAAATATTTTATTTAGTTATATATTAAACTTTTTATTTATAAATTTAATTTTTTAAATAAACCTTTGGACAATTTAAGTTTTATTCAGCCATATTCATGGTAAATCATATTAATATTTTTCTTGTTTATAATTAATCTTCAAAGTAAATGATAACTATTAACATAAAGACGGAGAATTGCGGTGTTTTAAACACTGTTTCATTATGCACACCTCGCAGTGATTGTAAAAAATACAGAGATGATTGATTACGTCATCAAATGTGAAATCGGAACCGTAATTTGTTTTTAAAATTAAACTTGTTTTTAATAAACCTAAGGGGCTTTGTAAATCGAATTCAAATGTATCATTGATTGCTGGGAGGGGGTTTTGTCAGGTATTATGCAATCATTGTTTACGGGCAAAAAGATAAAAGTATGTAACGGAGTTGATACTAGGTGCAGTGATTATGCTTAGCTTCTTACGTTTAAGCTTTTTTTAAATTGAGTTGGTACAAATAAAAGATAAGAAAACTTATACCAATTAAATATAACATTGTATGTCTTTACAGTAAATGATTCTGAAAAGTCATGAGAATAAAATTAAATCATGTATCAAACAATGCCAATAGCAGCTAAAATAAAATCCTGGCAATAAATTTGTAGCCGGAATATGCTATGTATTTATCTTCAAAATGCACTACTAAACGAACCCTTGCAGGAAA